GTGAGTGAGAAATTTTTCCGCCAAAACTTTTAAGTGCCCATATGTAAGAACCACGCATACCTCAAGCTGAATCTGAAATACTTAAGTTGTACTTGGACAGGGGACATTTCCCCAAAATTTTAGCTTTCCTGCTTTTCTGGTTACCGAGTTCGCAATTTTCCACTAAAAACTTCACATACCCGTACATGGGTACTCCATAAATTTGAAATTTTTAAATTGCACGTGGGCAGGGGACATTCCTTTAAAATTTCAGCTTTTCAGCTCTTCTAGTTGCCGAGTTAGTAATTTCCCTGAAGAAATTTTTACAAGCCCTTAGATGAGCACCACGCATAGTTTAAGGCTGAATTTGAAATATTTGGGATGTGCTTGGATAGGGAAAATTCCCCAAAAATTTCAGCCTTCTTGGTATCCGAGTTAGCAATTTTCCCCTTAAAACTTTCATACGCTCTTACGTCAGCACCACACACGCCTGGGGGCTGAATTTGAATTCTTAGCTAGTACATGTACGGGGAATATCCCCACAAAGTTTTAGCCCTTTAGTTCGTGTGGTTCCCGAGATCGCTTTCCCGCCAAAAAATTTGCATATTATTTTAAAGCATTCGTACGCGGCACCCAGGCGTCCGATGGGGATGAAATTAAAACGGGATGGTCGCGCATGGTATAGGTACGTATTCTCAAACTTCCAGGCTTTTCTGGTTCTGGAGTTGAAAAAAAGTGGGTTACAAAAAGTGCGAACACACAGACAGTCTCTTCCCAGTATGCGTTTTTGCAATTTGCATATATGCAGAAACGCACAAAAATGAAAACCCAGGCTGGAACGCACCAGGCTCTCCGGTGCGATCATGCGTTTTTGCACTAAACTCGCAGATTGCTATTAGCAAGAATGATGCCTACGCTACAGCCTAACACTTGGGCTCATATTGGCCGGCTTTGACCCCCTCCGGCATGCAGGAGGAAGGGCGTCAGTTGGGATGAAGGTGGTGCATTCCAGGTGCATCGTTACCGCTTTTTCGCATGAAGTCCGGCCGTTTTTTCGGTAAATGCTCGCTTTGTGAAAAAATGACAAATGCAAATTTTTTGAAAAAATGCAAATTTTCCAGTTTCTAAAAAGTGGAAGTATTACTCGAGCGGTCGTTTGTCAAAAAATCCATGTTTATTTACGTATACGATTGTGGTTCAGGTTCGAGCTGCGAACGATTTTTTTGGAAAATTGCAAATTTTCAGTTCATTAAGAATTGAAAGCATTGCTTGAACGGTCGTTTTTCAAAAAATCCATGTTCACTTGCATATGCAATTGCGGTTCTGGTCCGAGTTGCTAGCGATTTTCAGGTTGAGGAGCAGCTTTAGGCTGTGGTTGGGGAAGCTAGAGAGCTGAGTTTAAAATTTTTAGCTCGCACGTGCATAGAGAATGTCCCTGCAAAGTTTCAGTTTTCTACGTTGTCTGGTTCGCAAAATCGTCTCCCGCCAACATATTTCTTTGGGATCCCGTACGCGGGGTCTAGGCACGTGTGGGGTGTAATCCTATAATTACCCGTTTCCCTCCTCTCACCAATTCCTAACACTTCGACCTACTTCCCCCGCCTTACTAACTTCTAACAATTCCACCAAATTCTAAATGTTTCTATAACTATCTACTTTCTACTCATTAACTAACTTGCCCTCCTTTTCCCTCTACTAATTCTCCCTATGTAGACCCTTTCTAGATCCAGACCCACAGTCAATTAATCAGACTGTTAAGTTTCGACAAATCGTCAGTCAACGACGCCACTCCACCGTCACGTCCAACGTCTCTATCGTCTTGCCTCTCCACCGCTGGCGTTCTGTTGCACACCTTGTGCGGTGCCCCTGTTCATTGTCCTACGCGTCGTCCTGTTCGCCAT